ATAAATATATATTATGTATTTATACATATTTATGTATTACAAATACATAATATATAAATACATAATATATATGGACAAATAATAAATATATATATATCCATTCATACATTAACTATTCTTTTTTTACAAAATATTACCCATACTGTGTATAGTTTTGTATCCTGCTTTTTCATTCTCATCTAAGTATTTCATCACTCATTCTTATTTTATTGTTTCACTATATTCAAATATTTCATTATTTCAGTGACATAATGCATTTAAATCTTTGAACATATTTCTGATTTTGTCCACAGCATATATTCTTCCGGGTGAACTTTTTTTGGCTCAAACAATCAGATACAAGTCAGAAGTCATGGTATGTCACCTGAATCCTACTTCTCATGCTAAGAGCCCAGTGTAGCATGGTTGACTTACAACTTACTTGCTATAGAATGGCAATTTTACTTTTTTTTTTTTTAAGATTGAGAGAGAGTGTGCATGTGACTAGAGGGGAGGGGCAGAGGAAAAGGGAGAGAGAGAATCTTAAGCAGACTCCACACTCAGCACGGAGCCTGAAGTGGGGCTTGATCTCATGACCCTGAGATCATGACCTGAGCCAAAATCAAGAGTTGGATGCTTAACAAACTGAGCCACCCAGGCACCCCAAAGATGGCTATTTTAAAGGATTATATACTTAATTTATAATAACAAAATGTAAAATTTGACAAGGTTTTGAAATAATCACATAACAAAAGTATTAATGACCTACAAATTTTCTCCTCTAGACCATCTGGAAGCATATAAGAAAATACATACCTCTCCTTTGCAACAACAATACCTAGTAACTGATCTTCAAGACCTTCTGGAGTTATCATGAAATTGAGTAAAGACACCTTTGTAGCCAGTTCTGGCATATAGTGTGGATTTCTCAGTTTTGTGGTGATATAAAACTTGAAATCAAAGGAATACTCAATAATGACCTCACCAAGTCTGATGCAATCAATGCCACCTATATTTCAGAAAACAAATGCATGATAAGTAAGCCAAAGTTGTATAGCCCCTACCTCTGTTAAGGTTGTTCCTAGGTTACAAAGTAAAGGGTCCTAAAGTAATTTAAAATAGAATAGAGATGTGACAAAGTCATAGGGTCAAGTAAACAATTATACAGCAGGACTCATTCATTCTGGGGTGGCAGAAGATATTTTCTCTGGTTGTCATGGAGCCTTCTAAATTAAGATTCCTTTTGATCTAACCTCCTCTATCAATTTTCAGTCATGATTTCAAGATTATTTGTATATGACTGAAGCTCTTAAAAGTACTAGAGTTTATTATGGAAAGAACCCAAATGTCCATCAACTGATGAATGGATAAAGAAGATGCGGTTTATATATACACAATGGAATACTACTGAACCCTCAAAAAGAATGAAATCTTACCATTTGCAATGATGTGGATGGAGCTAGAGTGTATTATGCTAAGCAAAATAAGTCAGTCAGGGAAAGACAAATACCATATGTTTTCACTCATATGTAGAATTTAAGAAACAAAACAGATGAACATAGGGGAAAGGGGAGAAAAAGAGAGGGAGGCAAACCATAAGAGACTCTTAATTATAGAGTACAAACTGAGGGTTGCTGGAGGGAAGGTGGGCCAGGGATGAGCTAAATGGGTGATGGGTATTAAGGAGGGCACTTGTTGTAATGAGCACTGGGGGTTATATGTAAGTGATGAGTCACTGGGTTCTACTCCTGAACCCAATATTACATTATATGTTAACTAGAATTTAAATAAAAACTAAAAGCCAAGCAAAGAAAAAAAAGTACTAGAGTTTGGCAGAGATAAAAATTTTTATAAGCAGAAAGATTTAAGGTGGGCAATGTTTACCTAAAGTTAACTCTAGCCCACATTAACTTCACAATAATGGACTTTGTGAGCTCCGTGGTCACAAGACAAAGGGATTTCAGGCTTAACTTCTTTATGTTCTCTACTGAATAACAGTCTAGTAACAGTGGTTAACATAATGAACAGAGGGCAAGATATTTATTTTAGATTATCTGACCAATATTCATTCCTGATACTTGTTGCAAATTTCCTTTCACACATAACAATGACACAGAAGTTCTGAGTTATTAACATTATACTTAAATTTATGTAGTGGCTTTCTTGCCTCAAAGACCACTGAACCATCTTTCAGTGCTACCAACTAATATTAATTAACTTGTACCTTGCTTAAAAGTTTGTCTAAGTAGTAAAGGCTCCAAAGATGGGTCCAGTTCTTCACCAACGTTTTCTAATAGAAGTGGAGTTCCGAACTGAATACAGTTTTCCAATGTTCTCATATAGTCTGAATCTGATAGCTTAATAACACTAAGCTGATTTTCTCTTTCAGAGTTTTTGATCCACTTATTGGCTTGACCCTGTGGGTCAATCATTAAAGGCCTAGAATATAATAAGAGATATTCTCAGGGGAATACATAGATGCTGATTTCTTTAAAATTATGTAATTTAAATAACAAACATCACCATCAATCTGTACAAATGCAAAGTTTTTCACATACATTATCAGGATTAATCTTCACAAGAGTCCTTTGAGAGAAAAGTAAAAAGGAGTTTTATTGTCATTTATTTATTTATTTTTAAGATTTTATTTATTTATTTGACAGAGAGAGAGAGTATAAGCAGGGGGAGCAGCAGGCTCCCGCTGAGCAGGGAGCCCGATGCGGGGCGCGATCGCAGGACCCTGGGATCATGACCTGAGCTGAAGGCACACGCTTAACTGACTGAGCCACCAAGGCGCCCCTGTCATTTATTTGTGAAATGAGGAAATTCAGTCTCAGGGAGTACTTTGTCCAAGGTTCCAAATCTAGTTCCATGTCAGAAGTAGAATCTTGTGAACCTGTAAGCTGTGCTCTTTCCAGTATAATGCACGGTCTTCATGGTAATTTTAATAAATAACACCTATTAACATAATACAAAAATAAACCTATTTATAAATAAAAATTTAAAGTAAGAGATCCAACAAATGTTGGAGAGGTTGTGGAGAAAGGGGAACCCTCTTCCACTGTTGGTAGGAATGCAAGTTGGTACAGCCACTTTGGAAAACAGTGTGGAGGTGCCTCAAAAAATTAAAAATAGAGCTACCCTATGACCCAGCAATTTACCCCAAAGACACAGATGTAGTGAAAACAAGGGCCATATGCACCCCAATGTTCATAGCAGCAATGTCCGCAATAGCCAAACTGTGGAAAGAGCCAAGATGTCCTTCAACAGATGAATGGATAAAGAAGATGTGCTCATATATATAATGGAATATTTATTACTCAGCCATCAGAAAGGATGAATACCCAACTTTTACATCAACATGGATGGGACTGGAGGGGATTGTGCTAAGTGAAATAAGTCAAGCAGAGAAAGTCAATTATCATATGGTTTCACTTATTTGTGGAACATAAGGAATAGCATGGAGGACATTAGGAGAAGGGAGGGAAAAATGAAGGGAGGGAAATTGGAGGGAGAGATGAACCATGAGAGACTATGGACTCTGAGAAACAAACTGAGGGTTTTAGAGGGAAGGGGGTGGGGGGATAGGTTAGCCCAGTGATGGGTATTAAGGAGGGCATGTAATACATGGGGCACTGGGTGTTATACGAAAACAATGGATCATGGATCACCACATCAAAAACTAATGATGCATTGTATGGTGACTAACATAACATAATAAAATAAAATTAAAAAAAAATAAAGAGATCCACTAGCCTATAATGGACTTCCTCAGTTTTGAGTAGAACCATAAACTAATTTCCAAATTTTGTCTGGAACATATTTGAGATCTATTTAGTAAATTTTTCTATGTAATTATGGTAAAAGCTTTGTGTTCAAGAACAAATAATTCATGGTTTAAGGTGTCTAAAATACGACATGTTTTTCTCTTCCTCAGTGATGATATTGACTGTCCTAGGTTTTTTTTATATTTAGTACAGTGCATTAAATCATCTTTAAAAAATGTTAGTACAGAAAGGGGAGTTTTGTCCCAAGTTGCTTTGGCTTTCTCAGACATTGTCTTTCTGTTTCAACTTCTAGGGATAAATCCCCTTTTCCTTTGCCTACACACACACACACACACACACACACACACACACACAACTCTTTAATCAATTACTATCAGATAATGCTTTTTAATAATTTTTCTTTCCTTTCCAAAGACAAAACAATCAGAATTTTTCACAGAGCCAAAACAAACAATCCTAAAACTTGTATGAAACCACAAAAGACCCCAAATAGCCAAAGCAATCTTAAAAAAGAAAAGCAAAGCTGGAGGCATCACAGTTCTGGACTTTGAGTTATATTATAGCTGTAGTGATGAGGACAGTATAGCACTGGCACAAAAACAGACACATAGATCAATGGAACAAAATAGAAAACCCACAAATGAATCCACAGCTATATAGTCAACTAATCTTTGACAAAGTAGGAAAGAATGGAAAAAAGATAGTCTCTTTAACAAAGGGTGTTAGGAAAACTGGACAGCAACATGCAAAAGAATAAAACTGGACCACTTTCTTACATCATACACAAAAATAAATTCAAAATGGAGGAAAGACCTAAACATGAGACAGAAAACCATCAAAATCTTAGAGGAGAACACAGGCAGTAACCTCTTTGACATTGGCTGTCACAACTTCTTACTAGATAGGTCTCCTGAGGCAAGGGAAACAAAAGCAAAAATAAACTATTGGGACTTCATTAAGATAAAAAGCTTCTGTACAGCGAAGGAAACAATCAACAAAACTAAAAAACTGAAAGGAAACCTTTAGAATGGGAGAAGATATTTGCAAATGACAGACTGGATAAAAGGCTAGTATCCAAAGTATATAAATAATTTATAAAACTCAATGCCCAAAAAACAATCCGGTTTAAAAATGGGTAGACGACATGATTAGACATTTTTCCAAAGACATGCATGTCTTTGGAAAAGATGATCAACATCACTCACCATCAGGGAGATACAAATCAAAACGATGATAAGATACCACCTCACACCAGTCGAAATGGCTAAAATTAACAACACAGGAAATAAGAGTTGTTGGCGAGGATGTGGAGAAAGGGGAAACCTCTTAACTGTTGGTGGGAATGCCGACTTGTGCATCCATTGTGGAAAACAATATGGAGGTTCCCCAAAAAGTTAAAAATAGAACTACCTTATATTCCAGCAATTTCACTACTAGGTATTTACCCAAAGGATACACAAATACTGATTCAAAGGGACACATGCATCCTGATGTTTATAGCAGCATTATTAACAATAGCCAAATTATGGAAAGAGCCCAAATGTCCATCATCTAATGAATGGATAAAGAAGATGTAGTATTTATATACAATGGAATATTACTCAACCATAAAAAAGAATGAAATCTTGCCATTTGCAATGACATGGATGGTGCTGGAGAGTATTTATGCTAAAGGAGATAAGTTAGTCAGAGAAAGACAAATACCCTATGATTTTGATCATATGTGGAGTTTAAGAAACAAAGTAGATGAACATGGGTTGAGGGGAGAGAGAAACCAGGAAACAGATTGTTAACTATAGAGAACAAACTGAGGGTTACTGGAGGGGAGGTGGGTGGGGGGACGGGTTAAATAGGTGATGAAGATTAAGGAGTGCACTTGTTGTGATGAGCACTGGGTGATATATGGAAGTGATGAATCACTAAATTCTACACCTGAAACTAATATTACACTGCATGTTAACTGGAATTTAAATAAAAATTTGGAAAAGAAAAAAAATAAAGAAAAAACAACCCAATTAGTAGCTGACTGGTTGTTTTCCTTCCCAGCTCAAATTGTGCTGAAATACTATTAAAAATACAAAAAAGTCCAGATACTAGTTGAAATTTACTTTTGCTGTCATAGCAAACAGTGGGAAAGTGTTCTGGAAATGAGAAAGTTATTTTGCATACAACTGCTTAAAAATTGACTAGACTAGATGTTTTTAGTACTTTTCATGGCCTTGTTTAAAGGAACTGGTTTCATCCTTATATACCCTTGTATTGGAAAATTATAGTATTGTTGATTCCCTTGCAAAAGTAGCAATTTTTGTAAATTAACATTTAATGCTAATCAATGTTCTTAGTAATGCATAAATTAATGTTCTTGATAATACAATGTTTAGGGATTGTTGTTTATTCTAAAAGATATCTAATTCCTACTTAATACACTCTTATGTGAGGATTAAATATATAAATGGAAAATTGAGTTGCATCCAGAGAGATGAGGCCCTGCCATAGCATTTGTATTTCAAGCACATCTTACTGTAGATATGACAGTAATGCCAGCCTATATTTGAGATCCATGGGCAGTCTGAATTAAAAAGCATTATCCATCTATGCTTCTGACAGAGGAAGTAATTTTGGAGAAAATTTTGCTGTTAAGTAGCCAGAATGATGTGTTAATAAAGCAGCAATGTATTTTCATTGTGGTTAAAAAGTAAGCAAAGTCAGATTTTGAGATATAGACAGTAAAATGAGTAATTTGAAGATGATAATTATTTTTAAAAACTAACATTTATTGAGTACTTATTGTGTACTAGGCACTTTCTCATAACATTTCTATGAGGTAGGAGCTGTTATCATCCCCATTTACAGGTGAGGCACCTGAGGCATTGAGAGGTCAAGTAAGTTACCCAAATCTCAAGATAGAAAGTTATAGGGGAAAATTTGAATTCAAATATCCTGACGCTAGAGTCTGCCCTGCTTTGACCACTGTACAATATTATAAACAAACAAACCTCCAGAAATCATGAACAAGCACAATAAGGATTAATTATACACTACAGTTCTAGCAGCATGACTGGCTAAATAACCAAAAAATCTTCCTGCCACCTAGTACAGATAGATAAAATATGACATTTTTTTGAATACATAGGTGACATACATACATAATACATAAGTACATAAAATACATGTATAGAAAAATACAGACTCCAGAAACACAGGCAAAACTGAATTCCAGAAAAGTATGGGGGCAGAGATGACAGCTAGCCTTGGGGAGACTGTCAGTTCTGATAACCTAGGGGCTCCTTGAGTCCATATGTGGCAGGAAGCTGGAACTGAGACCCTCGTATTAAGCTTACACCCACAAAAGTCTTAGTGAAATCATAGATAGAAAAAAATCCAACTCAGTGCATAAGGAGATAGGAAGGGAGTGTTTTTATTCCTGTTTTACCTTCAGCTGGGAAAAAGTCCCCTGAGAATCTGTAGCCAGAGATTTATATTTCATGCAGGTTTAGGGTACAAGTTTACACTATGTGAGCCAGGAAGCTCCAAGCTGGAAAACATGTATTGGGCCAGTAATACTGCTAGGAATCCTGGGAAAGGTAAGGAAAAAGCACACACTGCAGCTCGGGCAGGAGAAAAGAAAAACTCAACCGCTGGGGATAGTTG